TATTACTATCTTCAAAAATGTCTAGTGGTGTTCAGAGGCGATCGGTCCATTTTATATAAGGAGAAAGTCAAAGAAAAGGTACTCTCTCTCAATGAATTTCATGAGCAATCCTCTTAAGAAGGCCGCCTCAGAGAATAACCATTGGCCTAGATATATCTCTTAACATTGTGCCTCTATTAATCAATTTTCAGAGGCAGGTTTGGTAAGAAGCCTTTCTCTAGCTATTAGCAGGTGGGCCTCTTAAGTGTGATGTGTATGTAGATCGACAGAGATGCACGTCTTAGATCTCCGTCTTTATAAATAGTTGTTGCAAAAAGATTCATAATTGTTGGCGGTGGAGAAGGAGGCTCGTGCTTCTTATGGTACGGACACTGGCAGTACGGATTATTGCATAGTGCCTCCTCTGCATTATTGTTGTTGTCGTCGTCCGACTTGTCCCTGTTACCACTTTCAGGGCCATACTCTAGGTCAAAGATGTGTCCCTCTAGATATGTGATGTACTGTTGATGGGGATAGATAGGAGGAGGGTCGACCCATCTAGTGAAGCCACAGTTATCTGGACAGCTTGAATCCTGAAAACCCATCTACCAATAAGTACTACTACAAACCAAATGCAAATCTAAAAAAGGAGAGAATTCAAAGGAAATACAAATCCTCGCGGGCATCTGAAGAAACGACGGCCTCCACCGTCACAGTCGTTGTACATCTGCACAACGCAATCCAAACCGTGGCGGCATTTTGGCCAATCTTCAATGCGCTTGTCGTATGATCTAAGAGGTCTCTCACGGGTGAAGTCACTCTTTCTCTCCAAAGGAAATTCCTCTATTGGTTCTTCAAAAGAATCAGGCAAAGGCTAGATGCTTTATCTGAAAAGCCTACAACCATGACTGGTCATTTCATCTGAAAAGGCTACACATGTGTTTTGTCACTTCATCTAAATGCAGTATATCACTCTGATATTAATTCAGTGAGTTTTCAAATAGACTTTTCATTGACTGCAACAGTACTTGTAGCCCTTTCAGTGACTGCAACAGCACAAGTAGCCTTTTCAGTGATACAAACAGTAGCACTACAGTCCTAGGATAGTTAACGAAGTATAGGGCATAAGACCATCTGAAATAAAAGTATAGTGCATTACAACATAATAAAAAAAGTTCAGGGAATAAGTTCATCTGAAATAAAAGCAGAGTGCATTACAACATAGTAAAAAAAGTCCAGGGCTACACGACATCGCTCATGAATAAACCAAATACCTACTGAGTGCAACGAGACCACTTTTCCTTCCTCTGGGCATCGAGATTCTCCTCCATCGCTGCCTTCGCTCGGCGCACACGCTCAAGCTTCTTCTCCCTCTCCGCCCTAGGGTTTTCTATTTGTTGCACAAATAATAAATAAACATTAGGATTACCTTGGAATACGAGCTTTACTACGCCTTGGCATCCTAACATTACGTAGAAAAAAAATCAATCCAAAGTATCTTTCAACGAATGTAAAGCTACTAACACTAAATCACCATACCTCCCAAATAAGCTTTTCATTACAAACCCTAAGCAAATTTGAATCCCAACAAACATAAAATTTAACTCAATGATTATAAATCAGAACATATACAACAACAACAACCATACATTTGGATCATTCAATCATTTGAACCACCATACATTGCACGAATGACATGAACATGAACCAAACCTATAATGCCAAGTTCAAAAAAAACAGCCGAATCTAAATGTATGAAATGAAAGAGGGGAAAGATGAGTACCTTGGCAAAACGTCAAAACCCTCGATCTGGCCTCCCAAGAGCTGGATTTAGGATTTAGGGTTCGTGGAAAGAGAGAGGGAGTGGGAAATGGTCACCTGTTGGTTCTGAATGGAGGGAGGAGGAAAAAGGGGGCCGCGGCGCGGCCTCAACTGACCGAACCTCGGCGTTGAGTCGGGCCGCGCCGAGGTTAGCATCTCGGCGTCATCTGATCGCACGCCGACCTCTTGGCCCACGAAGCGTTGTTGGGCCGCCTGGGCCGCGCGCCGAATAGTGCCAAGAAATCGGCGTGACTACCCACAGCGCCGATTTTAGGCCTGTGGCGTTGGCTGACACGACGCCGACGTACTGGGCCCCATGCGCCAGCCCCGGAGTCGTCGGTGATGTGGCAAGGACTCAGTGTCGTGTCAGTCGACGCCGACCTTCATACCTCGGCGTGATTTCCTAAGACGCTTAAAATGATCTATTTGTAGCAAAAGTTTTGGCTGAGGTCTTTTTATAAAAATATTTTAAAAAGGGACCAAAATGCAAAAATTGCACTCCATTTGGCGCCGACCTCGCTCGGGGAGGCAGAGAGAGGAGGAGCTAGCACCTAGCAGCAAGCGGCTGTTCGGAAAGGCGTGCTCAAAGCATCGCTCAAGCTGTCTCCCACTTATCTTTCATTATTGAAGGGGTCAGGGGTACCACCTTTTCATTATGCACAGCAAATCCCGCCTCATCCAGTAAGCCTTATAGAAGTCATTAATTATTTAGTCGGCTACCACCTTTTCATTATTTAATTTAGAAATATGAAAGGTGCATGTTTCGATACATATTCAAAATACTTCAAAAATATCTTATATTGGAAGGAAAAATATGTTCTAAAATAAATTACCGGTCAAATACATACATCAAAGAATGTGTAAAAGTAAAACCTATCATGACATCAGAATAAAAATTCCTTGGGGGGCAGAAACTGCGAAGTAACATATAAAAATCGCGAAGGAAATCTTTTTGAGGGACAACCGTCAAGTAATGGCCACCGCCAAGGTAAATAGAGTAAATAGGGCGATGACACTATCACCAAAAACAAAAGAAAATCATTCTTGAGGAACGACTGGCGATGGCCCTACTGCCAGTGCCAAGGATATATCTCGTAGGATATATATTTTCTTGAGGTCTTGGCGCATTGAATTCAGAACCTTAGGTCTCACGCGTTTCTTCCTTATTACTACACCAAAAAAACACTTGTGACCAAGTGATAAACAATATTTATACTTTTGTTCACTTTAGTGAATATTGCAATGAATATTTGAGCCCCTAAACAACTTTGGTTTAGGTCGTCCCTCCATCCAAGGTCGTTTAATTTTTAAAAAAATAAATTTCTAAATATAAGAACTTAAAATATATTTTTCAGACTGTAAACTATCTCAAATAGAAACATTGTTAGCTATAAAAGTTGTAGATCTCTTTGAGCTAGGCCACATCTACTTAAGTGTGATATGTAAGGTTTGTCTTCATCTTGATTTGAAAAGGTTATGATTTTTTTTTGGTGTTGCACCTATTTTTAGAGCCAGGCCGCATCTGCTTAAGTGAACTTAATAAGGCTTAGTGTCATATGTGTGACATGTGTTTAAATGAACTTAGCCAAGTTTGGTGTCTTATGTGTGTTAGTGAACTTAATAGAAAAAAACACTTAACATTAACAATGATAGAAGAAGTATGTCATGTTTAAATACTAACAATCATTTCCTTGGCCTCTAACCACAAAACAAATTGCATAACCCCTAAGAAAATGTTGGTTTTCTTTAGCAGTCAAAAATACCAGCAAAGAAAATGTTAATTTTTCTTGGCGGTTAAGAAAAACACACAAGGAAATGGTATTTTTCCTTGGAGTTCTATATTAACATTCAAGGAAATGATTATTTTCCTTAGCGTTAACAATAATATTCAAGAAAATAGTTATTTTACTTAGTGATTTCCAAATAACACTAAAAAATGCACATTTCTTTGGCGGTGCAATGGAGGTTTTCTGCAACCACCAAGAAAATGATATATCCCTTGACAGCTAGACTTTGGCGCTCAAGAAAATTTAGGGCGTCCAAGCATTTCCATCTTTCTAGTAGTGTGTCAAGGAGGTGATCCTTTGGTTCAATAATTCTTGACGTTTCAGCAAGGTTGTGGTCTAACTTCTAGAATTTTGGTCATCAGTGACTTTAGAACATTTGGTTTCAAGACAAAAAAAAGGTTTTAAAAGTACTTTAATGAAAAAGTATACTTACTGACTTTTTCACACGTTATTGTAGAAAATCATGGTAAAAGGCTAAAAGCTATGTTCTGGAGACGGCGCATTTGTCCAAAGCTACAAGAATTAGGAAACCAGAGGAGTATTAACACTTGGTACAAACTTTTGCACTCTTTTTCTCTCATCCGTGTCCTTTTTTTTTTGCGACTTCTCTCATCCGTGTCCTAAGAGCATCTCCTAAGTCATATCCCTCTCCTCCGGTGACATTGCCATAGTGAGACCTTCCCTCGTAAATTCATGTACTGTTAGCCCCCCACAAAGATTCTGCTAGGAAAGAAAGGACGTCATAAAATGTTAATTATTGGATAATGCAAAAAATGGCACTCAAAACCCTTCACTGGTCATCATCTTCACCATTTAATTTATATGCTTCATCATCCTCTATTCACCCAAGTCCAATCTGAAAATATCGTCAATCAATTTGAGTAAAAGTCTCGTCAATCAGGTGTGATCATAAACGCAAATTTGTGAATCAAACAAGAATATCTCACTCCACTATTATTTTCCCTCTTTTTGAAAAAAAAATTGTGTTTATATACTATAAAAAATATGCTACTTTTACTAAGACATACTCCATCCTTGCCTTATTAATTGTCGTTCTCGCTTCCCAAAAATAACTTTGACTAAATTTATATAAAAAATATTAATATTTATAGTATGCAATTAAATATTATTAGATATATCGTTAAATCTATTCTTATAATAAATTTATTTAGAGATACAAATATTGTTAATATTTCTTACGAATCTACTAACATATAAATCAACAGCAACAAATATTTAGGCACAAAGGACGTACCGCCAAGCACTCATCGAATCCTAAACCAAATTTGTCCTCACTCTCACCCTCCCTCTACTTAAACCCGCCAAACCCCTTTCACAGACATCACACATCACAAGAAACAAGAAGCCGTGCACACACACAGCACAGCACTGAGCACTGCACTGCGGTTCTCCATGGGCGCCGTCAAGCAAGAGGTTGAGGATGTGTACGCAGCCACCGCGGTAGCACGCTACTGCTACGGCTCCAAGGAAAGCAAGCAAGAACGTGCCATGGCGATGGAAGCAGAGGAAGACGGAGGTGGGCTGGAAGGTGAGCTCATCCCGGGGTTGCCCGACGACGTGGCCATGGAGTGCCTGGCGCGGGTGCCGAGCCGGTCGCACCGGCGCATGCGCAGCGTGTGCCGCGGATGGCGCGGCACCGTCGGGTCAGCGGACTTCCGGCGGCGCCGGAGGGCCGCCGGGGCGTCGGAGGACATCTTGTTCCTCGTCCAGACCGCGCCCGCGCGCGGCGACGGGAAGGGATCGACGCCAGAATGCGCGCTGGCGGCGGCGAACCTCACCACCGGCGAGTGGCGGCGCGTGGAAGGGCACGCCGACGCCTGGGGACCCGTCCCGCTCTTCGCGCAGTGCGCGGCCGCCGGCGACGGGCGGCATGTCGCCGTCGTGGGGGGCTGGGACCCGGACACGCTCCGCCCGACCAGCGACGTCCGGTTGCTGGACGTCTCCGCCGGCACGTGGCGGCGCGGCCCGGAGATGCCGGACACCCGGAGCTTCTTTGGATGCGCTGGCGGCGACGGCAACGTCTACATCGCCGGCGGCCACGACGAGTGCAAGAACGCGCTCCGCTCCGCCTTCGCGTACAGCGTCGCGGCCGACGACGCCTGGCGCGCGCTCTCGGACATGTCCGAGGAGCGCGACGAGCCGCAGCTCGTGGTCGTGGCGACCCCGGGCCGCGTCCTCCTCGCCGCCAGCGGCTACCTGACCGAGGCCCAGGGCGCGTTCAGGAACACCGCCGAGCGCTACCACGCCGGAGGCGACGCGTGGACCAGCGGCGAGGGCTACGTGATCCCCGGCGGCGACACGGCCGGGAAGACGTGCCTGGCGTCGGTGCGCGGGACGGTGTGGGCCGTCGGGGCCGGGAAGGACGGCGTGCGGGAGTGGGACGGCGACGCGCGCGCGTGGAGGGACGTGGCCGACGGGCCGCCGGGCATGAAGGCATGCGTGAAGGCGGTTGGCGTCGGCAACGGCGGGGCCGTGTTCGTGTTCGGCACAGTGGCCGACGCGGCGGCGGACGGCGTCAAGTACTCCGCGTGGGTGATGGAAGCGAGCGGCGGTGCATGGAAGCGAGTGCCCGTGCCGTCAGAGTTCGGCGGGTTCGTTTACTCAGCCGCGGCCGTGTCTATTTAGGTGTTTAGAGCTTATACTATTTTATAAACGGGCGCTTTTTGCAAGTGGCGCTTTAATTACACTTGTCATTGAGCGAAGCAAGTCTTGTTTTCTAATAATTCGAGTGTCAGTTCACTGTCTGAATGTTGTCTCTTAGGATTCAATTTCCTGACAGTGCACCTCTTTCCATTTTTTACTCGAGAATCGCTATTTCAGCATAGCTTGTTCGCTGTGGCTTTAAGCCACTGCGGTTGCAGGCTTTTAGACGAAGTGCATGCCCTGAAATCTCAAAAGCCACATGAGGACGACCAGACCGAGGACGATGCTTCATGCCAATAGTCTCTGAAATCACAAAAATATTTGACTTTGCAGATTTTTTTTTTCTCGAATACGCATGAGTATGCGTATCATTGTATTAAGTAGATAGAGGTTTCAAATTTACAAGAGTTTGCCGACGCCGGCCCTGCGAAAATATTTGGCTTTGCAGATGAAATTCTGTACTTATTATTTTTACAGAAGTAACCGGAGCAACTCCAAATCTATATATCCAGAGGAACAATACGACGGAGCAAACAGGGTGCAGTTCCTAGGAAGGGGAAGGGGCGTCTGGTTGCCTGCCAGGGAGCGCTGCTACAAATGCAGGGTGTGCCATGTACTCCGAGTGAAGCCTAGCAAGCGTGGGGTAATTTGACTGCGGCAAAAGAAGCACGTTTCATTAGCAGTTCTTTGATAAAAGAATCGAAACAATGATTTACATTTGTATAACAAGAGGAAAGGCGGTACCATGTCAATTTTAGTGCGTTCAATGGCTGCATAGATCTGGGGTGCAAGGAATACATCTGCCTGCATGTGAAGAACAAATGAAAAGACAATTGAATCAATTGGTAGCAGGTCTATTGGCAATAAACCCAGTATTTGCAAACAAACCTATATAACAGACAGAGGGCAAGTTGACAAATAGCGGGTTTATTGGCACAAAAGAACACATTCTGGTTTTAATTCTGCATAAATACCAGGAATATATATCATAAGGCATTGCTGTTCTACTAGGAATTTTATAGTTTCTGAGACTACTACTGTACAAAATGCGCATAATGGGTTCCTAAAAAACTTACCCTTATGTTCAATTTGAGTTAATAGCCCATAATCACATACCCTCTCCTTTAGAATGAGCATGAAATAAACAATGTCATCTTAAACTTTCAGAAAACCATAAAAAAATTACTTGTCTTGACAATGGAGCAAAACTGCTGATGCTGCTTCATTTTTTTTCAATTCTGTTTTTCCCCCTCTTCACACACACACACATCACCAGCGAGTGCTAGATTGCCCCCAAAAAACGCTAGGTTAAATCAATATGATACCATTTCACTCCAGAACAGCTACAAAGACAAACTCACTACCATGGGAAAAGAACCCATTCTAAAAAAAGGTGACAACTGGAGTATCTTGGGAGCAAACGTACCAGTTGGACTTCATCTCCTGTTGCATACTTCCCAGCACATCCTTTTAGTTGTATTAGGTTCTCAATAGCTATCATTAGGGAAAGCGAGCACATTACAGAATAGCAAACTGAGAACTATGAGTGAACTTCTATAATGATATAATACAACAGAACTACAAGGCGAGCAATATTTTTTTAAAGCAAATTTGGTTGATGAAAGTAATGCAGTAAAGGACGGTAATGTCCGTGATACAACCTGTGAAACCTCTCTCGATTTGTTGTTGAGTCCACAAGACACCCTCCCCAGCACCAACCTTTTGGTCAATGAACCTCTGCAAATAGATAAGCAATGGATCAAATAATGTCCCCATACAGTAACTTTACATTTGATATTCCTCTATTTGAGTGTGCACTTTCCCCTATGATATTCATCAGTGATTGAGCTGAAACTTTTGAAAATATTGGCTGTGTGCGGCTGCAGAGGCCGGTATTGTCCTCTTTTCTTAAAAAAGTAGCTTTTGTTCTTTAAACAAACTGTACAGTATATTTTACAAACAAGTTGTCTCAACACGGAATCAATCTGCAGCAAAGAAATTGTATAATTGCACAATGCAGGTGGGGAACTGGGAATCCTATATCACTATAAAACTCGACTAAGGTGCACAAATCAATCTATTTCTAAACGAAGAAGCACATATGCCAAGAAATAAGGTACGGCATACTTACCAACACTGTGAGGTTATGGAGAGGTTGAATACCAGAAGCTACAATGCTTGCAATCTGCCATAGAAAGATAGAAAAGTTCGGTGATAAAGAAAACAAAACAAAACAAAAGAAACCACACATCACATGTTACTCCAGACTCTGGTTAGACCTTGGGACCTTGCTAAACTATATGGGTTTGTGCTACATGCTAGTGATGCAATGGATGGTAATTTGCAATTCACTATAATGGTAATGGACAGTCTTAAACAGAAGGAAATGAGTGGTATATGAAAATGACTGTTTCAAAGTGGCATGGCTTTGTTGTTGTTGTTGTTGTTGCTGCAAAGTGGCATGGCTGTTGATGCTGAGCTGTGGAAATAAATAACAGGAACACTGTTAGTTCTGAACGCGTATAATACCACACACTGGAATTTCATTGTGTCCTGTGCTGTAGCAGCCTGTGTGCTGCCTGACAACAGCATTGCCATGCGGAAAACCTGAAGGAGTTGCACACACATGCATGGACTCCAATAATTCCAGCCGCAATTGTTCTACTTGTGCTTTATCTCTAGCATTTGTACTCTTTATCCCTTAGCTGGTTAGATTCCTGTTGAGTCCTTATCCACTTCGTACATGTGCAGCACAGTCCATAATGAAATTCAAGTGCATGATATCATACACATTCGGAACTAACAATGGCATGTTCTGCATTTCCACACGCTCAGCATCAGCAGTCATGTCACTTCGAAATAGGCATCTTCATTTACCACTCATTTCCTTTTGGGCAAGATTGTCTGAACCATTACAGTGGGTTGGAAACTACCATCCATTACATCACTAGCATGTGAACTAACCCCACATGTAGGCTCATGATGAACCATATTTACTGATTTATCCATATTTGCAATTGAATTAAGCTACTGAATTATTCCCCTTTTGTCCCCTTTGTTGTGCTACTTATTTATTAGTGGCTTTGCCACCCAAGAATAGTCTGCCTATGGAAGGGTGCAGTATTTCATAAGTCTGGATTGGAGTATAAAAGAAGCAAAGTCCTTCAGGAAGGCATGAAACACCTCAAAAAAGCAACTCGTAAACAAATTGCATAGTTACAATATAGCTCTACAATATAGCATGCCACTTTATTATGTTTGTTTGCATAGTACCAAATTATTATTTTATCCCCACAGTAACAATGTTCTGTCCTGAATTTCCACCAGCTAGTTTGAGCAGTCATGTCACCTTCAACAATATGTGGTCGCAATCATGAAAAAAATGGGGTTGCAGAACCTATCATTACCTGGTGATTCAAAGCCTTGTTTTGAAGGTCGTGAGGTAGAAGAGGAGGCTCTGGGTACTTGTCCTCCAAATACTGCATAGCCACAAAGGAACAAGTGAGTCAAGCGATAACCAATACTGAGACAATAAACGCAAAATCTCGATACTTGCCAATGCTATCGCGTAAGAGTCACCGATTACAGAATCGCCATCAACCAACGCAGGGACGAACTTCATAGGATTAAGCTTGACGAATTCTGCTTCTCATAAAGATCAACCTATTAGCGACTTTCCAAACAAGACCCTGCATAAGCATAACCTTATTGCAGCCAGCCTTGAGACTAAACACACCTGGATCAGACTGCTCGCCCTTGAGAAGGTTCACCACCTTGTACTCGTAATCCACACCTGCAGAAAGAAACAGCACGCACATCGAATCAACCCAACCGAATGCCCCCAATCCGTCTAAAAGACGATGGTCCGAGTACGATTAAGCGGTGGCCGAGCAGCACGCACCTTTGAGATTGAGAGCGATGCGGGCGCGGTGGGAGCATGAGCTGCGCCAGTACGAGTACAGACTCAGTCGCCCCGCCGTCGCCTCCGCCTCCGCCATTTGCAGATTGCGCTGACAAACTGACGATTGCCTAGCTGCTTCGCTGAACCGTAGTCCGAGAGCGAGAGCGACGGAAGAAGAGGAACCGGCAAAGCGAAGTGGAACACGGAAGGCAACTCAAATGGGCTCGTTTGCAGCAGATGCGGCCCATGATTTGGTGAGAAAAAACCGGCCCAATCACGTCACGTCCGTCAAGCCAATCAGCCAGGTGGGCCCATGCCTTCTGTAGTGCGCCGAAAGCCGAGCCCAGTTCACGGGCCCACTATCCTTTTACTCCCTTCCTTGAAAGCGAAGCGGAAAATGTTTTGGACGACGAGCACCTCGTGGTTTTCCGCTTTTCCCAAATTGCCCCTTCTGAAATCCTCCTATTCTCGCAGGCCCCCTACACGCCGACGCCGCGGTATTGCGCTCCTCGCCTTCTCTCATCCTCTTCTGCTCCCTCCGCTACCAGTCCACCACCACCACTGCTACCCTCGCTTCCCCAAACCCTAGCCAAGGGACGCGGTGGCCGGCGATGGACGGCGAAGGAGGAGGCGCTGCAGCGGTGCACCACCACACGCGCTCACCCGAGGACGTCTTCCGCGATTTCCGCGCGCGCCGCGCCGGCATCGTCAAGGCGCTCACCACGGGTCAGCTAGCCTCACGCATTTCCAGCCGCCTCCTCTTTGTCCTCTTGGTTTGTGGATGATTCTCTGACGCTGTAGCTGGTTCCGTGGTGCGCGCAGATGTGGAGAAGTTCTATCAGCAGTGCGATCCAGGTGACGCGCCCGACTTGGTTCCTCCCCCTCTTTTTTCCCTTCCGTCTGTGCTGCTCGTATCTTCGTGCTAAGCTTCGCCTTTCACTATATGCCGATCCGGCGTTCGCTTATGGAGCTCGATCCGGTTGCCGTTTAGGGTTTCGTCGGATTCTTAAGGACGATTAGTTGGTCTGATTAGTCCTTTACTTTTGTCAGATATGTAAGTTTCAGTGTGACTGCCACGCATGTTTTGTAATTTGTTTTCGCTCTCCAGTCTGTTTAGATCATCAATTCAAGGCCTTGAGCTAAAGAAACTTGCAATAGATGAGCACATCGATTAAAGGAAGTGCTTGGTAAATGTCATGGTTAGGTAATTTAAAGTCCTGGAATATGCTCCAGCTGTGGTCGTTTGCATTTCAGGTGACATGCATAATGCTTGTGTTGAATGTAAAAAAACATGTACGTTACATAATAAAGGTGATTGACCAATTTGCATTTCCGTTTACATGCATAATGCTTGGGTTGTACGTAACAAACCACGTACGTTACATAATAAAGGGGATTGACCAATCACAGTACAGTATCACTTGACGGGACACGTGATCATTTGGCTCAGGTTGGTGTATGTCGGTATTTGCTGAAAGTTGTAGCCTCAGTGGAGATGAGTTGTACTCATTGGTTACCATGGACCTATTCATTTAAACCCTCAGATAGATGTCGTTTTGAGCTACAAATCTGTTACTGCCGCTGTGAGGATTGAAATCTGGTTAAAAACTATAAAAGCTAACTAAATTGATCTAGTGCCTTTGACTTGATATATCATGTAACCTGGTTTTTCCAGGTTGCCCTCCTGTGTATGAAAAAGGAATGAGAAGTAACGTATGTTAGTAGAAGGAATTACAAATTGTAGAAAGAAGTGTGAAGTGGAGACAAGATAAAAGTCAGATGCAGACATCAATGGGTGACCGGCCTAATATTGCTCAATGTCCACAAATAATGCTGACGTACATTCATGGAAAACAGTTATGAGTAAAGTGACTTCTAATCATCATTGCAGCATCCGTTACTTGATTAACATTTTTTAATAGTATTCTTGCTCTGCTGTCTACTGATGTTTAGTAATATGCCATAACTGGTGACATGAACACATCAGATTCCATCTCCTTTGTTTTGTCCTGTTGACATAATGCTATCCTTCTTGTGCCAGAGAAAGAGAACTTGTGCCTTTATGGTTTGCCAAATGAGACTTGGGAGGTCACTCTTCCAGCTGAGGAAGTACCTCCTGAGCTTCCCGAACCAGCACTGGGGATAAACTTTGCCCGTGATGGAATGATCGAAAAAGACTGGTTGTCTCTAGTTGCAGTTCATAGTGATGCATGGCTCCTGTCTGTTGCATTCTACTTTGGAGCTCGCTTTGGATTTGATAAAGATGCCAGGTTTGTGTTTTGTTTTCATTGTGAAGGTTTAATTCCTTTTTTTTTGGTTTTATTCACCCCTTTAGTGTAAATATGTTTCCCTTTCATACTTCTAATTGTAATATGAAACTCAGATGTCTTTGGTCACAGATTTACTTTCATAATTTATTTCATATTTTTTTGGAAAAATATTTTTCTTGACATGAACTAGGGGGAAATGTATATTGTTCTTGTGCCTTGCTATGGGGGTGGTACAGGAGGAGAGTCTAGTACTCTGGTTGGTGGGTGCTAGCTGGGGAGATGCATATGTTGCTTCCACAAGTTGTGGATGCATCAGTTACTGTCGCGGAAATGCATATGTTGCTTCCACGGGTTGGGGAGATGCATATGTGGGAGTGGTTCAGGAGGCATATGTTGCTTCCACAGGTTGTGGAGGCATCAGTTACTGTCGCAGAAACTGGAGATTGGAGAGGGATTGATGGGCTTTGTGGGGAAGAGTGTTGTGATGGTGCATTAGGAAAATGATGTAGAGAATGAGAGAGTTCAGAGCTAGGGAGGAGTATTTAAGGCTGTGCTCAGTGGAAGGCTGCCTGCCATTATGCCACAGTTGTGGGGTGTCCCATTTTTAGGTGAGGAGATGGGGTTCCCTTAATTAGGTGATCTCCATTTATTTTCCATTTATTATATCTGTAGTTATCTATCTTCCATTCTTTTGCTCATGACGCCCCTACTTCTCTCTTATTGGAAAATTTATCTGATTTTAAAAAAAAAATGTAGCCAGTTATTATGCATCTGTGTGGAGATATTTACCAAATATGTAATACTTATTTACTTTATCAAAAAAAATCTTTATTAGATTAAATGATAGTGGTGTTATATCTTAACTTGTTAAGGTTTCAAATTGAATTTGTGCTTCTAAATAGAGTTGCTTACTGATCTTGCAGTTGTTTGGGTAGGATCCACAAATTCTAGTGTAAAGATGTATCAAATGTTCCAGCTTTTATCTGTTCTGTAGCCACAAAAAAAACTATTACCTCTATTCCAATTTATAGGTCAGTTTGGCTTTTCTATGTATATCTAGGTGCATAGCAAAAGCTATGTACCTAGAAAGGCCAAAACAACCTATAATTTGGGGCACAGGGAGTAGTTATTGTAGAACAAGAGAATTGAGATGATAATTCATTGGTGGCATTTGGATTTCAGGAGAAGGCTCTTCACCATGATTAATAACCTGCCCACTGTTTATGAAGTTGTGAGGGGGGTTGCTAAGAAGCAATCAAAAGCCCCCAATGGCAGCAGCAAAAGCAGCAAATCTAACTCAAAAGTAAGTACATATCCTTTGTGTGTCTGTGTGGCTCAAAAGTAAGTATATGTGCTACATACCATATGCATTACATCTTGCTAATGCTGTTGATGCAACCCCTGGCTCGTTTGTCCTGCAATTTCTTGCAGCCATCAAAACAGACCAATTCTAACAGTAAGCCTGTGAAGCCAGCTCACCCAAAAGAAGAGGAGGACAGCGGCCGTGAGGACGCAGAGGAGGAGGACCAGGCGTACCTGTGTGGGTCCTGTGGGGAGAGCTATGCGAACGGGGAGTTCTGGATCTGCTGCGATGTCTGCGAGAAGTGGTTCCATGGAAAGTGTGTCCGCATCACCCCTGCGAAGGCGGAGCACATCAAGCAGTACAAGTGTCCCAGCTGCAGCACCAAGCGGAGCCGGGAATGACGGCGCCCTGGGACAGGGACTTGCTCCCAGTTAATGGAAGCATTTAGAATCATTAGGAGCAGTGAAGCGGTGTCATTAGAACTGCTTCACCTGTTTAGCAGACCGGTGCGTGTGCCGGCTGTTGTATTTCTCTCGTCGTGTGTTGTAAACTGGTAAGGGACATGGTAGCTAGTGGTGATGTGTTAGCAGGCTGAGTGCTGTCATCGTAGTGTCGGATGAACTGCTGGTGTTTGGAAACTCATGTTCAGTAATTAAGTGCTGCTTAGTGTGTATGATAATTTCCTGCTGTTTATCACCTGATCTGAGCATGTTCTTGTGGCGAACTTGCGGAGCTAGTGAGCAGGCATTGACCATGAGCTTCACTGCTGAGACCATCCTCACCGGGGTCACTTACACGTTCCTCCTGGAGGCATAGCACTTCAGTATTAGTGTGGGCAAGCTCAAACAATTTAATTCATTTCGCTGCTCAGGCAAGGCGAAATGTACCACTTGCTACTTTGTCAGTAACCAAGTAGGAAGTGCTGCTAATATCATCAGTCTTTCACCTGTACAGCATCACCACATACCACCAAAACTCTATATCTGAACGTTCCTGCAGCAAAAGGTTTTCTGGCGCCTCAACACTTCCGCTAGACCCAACCACCCAGATAAGGCAAAAGGAAGATTGGAACAGAACCACTTGAAAGAAGAAAAAAAGGGTGAAACACTGTGTTACAACTAAGTATTACGACTGAATCAGGACGGAACTCGAACATCAGTTGTAAGGGAGAATTGAATGGTGGTACTGTGAAAAGTGAAAGATGGATAACAACTTGGTGCATGAAAAATTTTAACCTAAGCTATACAAGGCATGCACAATCCCTCGTGACTTGAAAGGATCCAAATCAAGCATTTCAGCGCTTTGTACAACAGTGAGCGAACCCACTATTCAACTTAATCACAACACGGTTAACATGCATGTTCAGTCTATGAATAGTAGCTTTCTTCCTCAATCAAGCTCTTATCTAGAACGCCTAGAGAACACAGGTTGACTAGAAGTTGTTTTGCCTCATCCAAAAGACACTCATAAGCAAGAGCCTCAAGGAGTATAATGTAGGTTGATTCATCAGGCATGCAGCCACTGGAGACCATATGAGCAAAGCAATTAATGACGAGATCTGCTCTCCAATTTTGACAAAAACCAAGAAGAATATCATTATAGAATGTAGTGTCAGGTGAGAAGCCCATATCTTGCACTCTGCAGAGCATTCTCATTGCCCTGTCAGTTCCATCTACTCTACAGATACCATATGCTAAAGATTTGTATGTAGTCGTATCTGGGCAAAGGCCATTAGAGACCATCACACGCAACAAATCAAGAGCTTCCTCCATTTTCCTGGCCTTGGTAATATTGGAAATTACGGTATTATAAGTAATCAAATCTGGAGTACCATTTGTCATGCCACTCAGTAGCTCAAGGGCTACCTGAGTCTTTCCAGCCTTCAGAAGTGCATCAACTACTATGTTATAGGTAGATGAGTTTGGAATGCAACCATCTCAGCCATTATCTTCAGAGTTTCAATTGCTTGCAGAAGTAATCCTTTCTGGCATAAAGAAGTGATTACTGTATTGAATGTCATTTCGTCAGGGGGACAATTACTGTGCATCATATTAACCATGAGCTGCTCAGCATCCTCCCACCGGTCAACACTACACAAACCCTTCAATAAAGTGTTGAAGGTAACTATATCAGGCTTGCACCCATAGGACTGCAGATTGCTCAACAATTCCATGTCATCAATACACCTTTCGTTGCACAAACCATCGATAATACAATTGTATGTGACAATATCAGGGTTGCAACCATTCTCTGACATCTGTTCAACAACTTTGATTGCACGATCAACCAACCCTTTCTGACATAGAGAAGCAATTATTGTGTTGAATGTCACTTCATCAGGGGGACAATCACTGCAGACCATATCAGCCATGAGCTCCTCAGCGTGCTCCCATTGTTCTATGCCGCACAGGCCCTTCAAAACAGTGGTATATGCAATTGTATCAGGTTTGCACCCATATGATTTCAGTCTGCTTAACAACTCAACCGCATCATCAACAAGCCCTACGTCACACAAACCATCAAGAATACTGCTGTATGTGACAATATCAGGGACGCATCCATGCTCTGACATATGATCAACAACTTTAATTGCACAATCAACTAAGCCTTGCTGACACAGAGAAGTGACTATTGTGTTGAATGTCACTTCATCTGGGGCACATTTGTTGCTGGACATCTCAGCGAAGAGCTCCTCAACCTCCTTCCACCGTTCAGAGCCACACAAACTCTTCAACACAGGTGTGTAGGTGACAGCATCAGGTTTGCATCCATGGGACGGCAAGTTGCTCAATACATTCAGAGCTTCATCAACATCGCCCTCGTTGCACATGGCATTGATGAGGACATTGTACGTGACTATGTCCGGCTCGCAGGCTCGCAGCCCTTGGCGCGCATCTCATCAAGGAGCAGGAGCACCATGGCCTGCCTGTAGCCGCTCGCCTTGCAGGTGGCGTCCAGGAGGATGCTGTAGGTGACGACGCTAGGGGAGCACCCCCGGTGGAGCATGTCGTCGAACACCGCCAGGGCGTCAGGGACGCGCCCGCGGACGCAGAGCGCTCGGATGAGCGGGTTGAACGTGAACGTGAACGTGTCCGGCGGGAACGGCATGCCGCTGATGAGGCGGTGCGCGTCCTCGATCCGGCCGGCGCGGCAGTACCCGTTGACCATGGTGTTGTAGGTGACGACGGTGGCGGAGGAGCCGAGCGCCGCGAACACGCGCTCCGCGTCGGCGACGCGGCCGACCGAGCACAGCCGCTTGATGAGGATGTTGCAGGGGACGACGGGCAGGCACTTCCCGCTGCCGCCGGAGGCCATGGAATCGACGAGCGCGAGCGCGTCGTCGATCTCCTCGCGCTGGATGAGGCTGCGCAGGCGCCTCTTGGCTCCCTCGTCGCGCCGGGGCGGGCCCCTCGGCTGCCTCCGCCACTTGCTGTCGACATGTTGGTCGTGCTGTTCGGGGGTGGCTCGCTGTCGCCTGGACCTTGGATTCGGGGCGTGGAGAGAAGAAGAGGACGCAGCTCGGAGTGCGGGCTTCGGGAGCAGCGGCGCCGACGAGGTCGCCATCGCCATGAGATAAAGCCATAGAGGCATAGAGCTGCTGAACGTCTGAACGACTGAACCAGAAGAAGCCGAGAGAAGAAACTCGCGCTGTCACAACGGGACAGGTCGCACGGGCAGCAGGGTTTGGGCCTTGTGAGCCCAGGTCTGGTGGGCCGGGCTGCATATATCACCTGGGCTTGGGTTATTGTGCGCGTGGTTGCCCATTTGCCCTATCTTCCTGCTTGGAACAGTTGGGAGAGAGAGAGACATCTATTTCCCACAATCCAAACGCCACCAGAGAGAGAGAGAGGGGGGAAGGGAGCGAGAGAGCGGCGGAGGCGATGGCGAGCGGAGGGAAGGGGCTCAACGCGACTGGGGAGTTCTTCCGGCGGAGGGACGAGTGGAGGAGGCACCCGATGGTGGGAAACCAGCTGCGCAACGCTACACCGGGGCTCGGCATCGCCATCGTCGCCTTCGGGATCTACCTCGTCGGCGAGGCCGCCTACAACCGCCTCTACCGCCCCTCCGGCGACCACCACCACTAGATCGGCGGCCGGGATCCGCGACTCCAAGGTAAGCCCCCACCCTTGCCCGCCCCCTTGTTTACCCGGAGATATGAGTTTGTTTGGTCAGGCTTGGATTGGACAATCCATTTGGAGGGATTTGATAGGGTTTGTTCATGTAGATCTGTCCTTTCAGGATGGCGTTCTATTGTTTCCTTTAGATCGGGTTATGAATTCGCACACTGGACACAACAGCCCTGTTTGGATTAAACTGAACTGAAGTGATTAGCCTGCGCGGATTATGTTCGCCAAAGCTTTGGGACCAGAACGCGTCTCTTACCTGCACCAATGTTCTGTATGCATTCATCTTCTGTCGAATAGCATATGTTGACACACTGACTGGGAACCAGTAAACCACTAAACATAATATCTATGAAATGAAAGGGTTGGACTTCTAAAGAAATCTTGCAAGACCATGTCACGACTGCAAGGGTGCGACCCATAAGCATTTATCTTCTCCACTTGTATCTATCAGTTGTGACACACCAGCTTAAATATTTCAGATTCAAGGGAAATGTCAAACCTCTGCAACTCATAAATATTTATCTTCTCCACTGGTAGTTAGTATAGTACTTAATAGTCTGCCAACTTAATTCTTGTGGCATCAAGGCCATCAATTCTGGAGCAACTCACTTGTATGTAGAATAATCACTTACCACTAGCATAGTTTTTGGTTGGTGCACTTCAAGTGTTAATGTAAATGGTGTCAAATTACACTGCAAATGTAAGGGGGATGGTAGACATCTGAGATTGTTTGGTTCTGCCCTGCTGTCAAATCCCATGGCACAATCACGACCCTCTGAGACTCAAACATCCAATGCTGTTGACCTCCCCATCGGACTAGCTCTGGCAGCCCCCTCGCCACTCCTTGAAACACTCCACCCTGTAGATCACCTTCAAGGCAACCATGGCTGCCACTGTGTACTCCATCATTGTCTCTACCATAGCAAGGGTATGGACTATGGAGATTGAGAGAGAGATGGGGACAGAAAGATATCTGATAGGATCGACAAGGATCCACAACGATTGGAAACTTGCTCTTGCTGAACAAACAGAGAGGTAGCCAGGTGACCACGCGGTAGCAATGCTGTTCGTCTTTTGAAGCAAGGTCTGGGTGTTACAGAGAGAGGGAAGGAGGGAGGGATCCACAACAAACAGGAACCTGCTCTTCCTGAGCAAGCCGAGAGGTGGCCGCTGGCCAGGCGACCGTGAGGAAGCAACGCTGTTCGTTTTTTCGAGCAAGGTCTGGGTGGTACAGAGGAAGACAAGAGCCATGAATGCAGTATCGTTTTGCGTTACTAGTAGAGTAGGAGCTGTAACAGGCTTGAATAGGCCTGGTATCCAATTCCTTGTAAAGGATAACGATCCATGCTAACCAAACAGCACCAAAATGTATTAAGAACAATCAATAGTTCTTTGTGTACAATCCAAACTTCGAATATATAAACTATATAAAATGAGAAACACCTTGTCAAGAAACTGGCTTAAGGTCAGGCTTTAAATTTTCTTGCCCAATATATATGTTCCAGCCATTTAAATTTTCATATGTGTTGAGAGGTATGTATTGAACTGCCAAAAGATCTTGTGAAATAGATGACTGTAGGCTTGGGTTAATAGCTTGAAATATTTTGTAAGGTGCATGTACATTGTATATGATGTTAAGCAGACATATGGCTGTGGGTTTCCCCCCCTACGGTTTATTACTGTAGAACTGCTTAAAATTGTGGACATATCCTTTGGTTTATCGATACGTATTTCACATAACTGATATGTTTATTGTCCCTTAATAATGCCTACTGCTATTAATATAATGCTACTCATATTAATTTGAGAATATTCTGTTTATGTCAATTCATATTGCATTCTCGTTATGTTCTGATGAAATAAAAAGTAGCAACTCTTATTATCAGATCAGTTGGAAATCTTATGTACAAATCTATCAAGATTCAAAAGTCATGATAGTTGGTTGAAATTTCACTAGTTATATTATGCCACTGATTTCCCCATGCTTTAAGGCCCTCTCTGAAATGTTGGAAAAACAAAGGAAAAACGTTGGATTCCCATTCCTATGGGTAGAGTTAGGCCTCCTAGAATGCGGGAAACTTTCCTATTTCCTGCGTTTTCCATGTGAAAATGAACGGACTCCCGTGAAATTAATGTAGTACCCTTGTTTTGCAGAAATAACTTGCAGGAAACACATAGGAAACTTTTCTTTTGTTCAATTTCACATGAAAACCATGGGAAAAAAACATCCACTCAAACCATGGGAAGAGTGACTGTACCGTCTTTGGTTTTTTGTTCCTGTGTTTTTCCTGCTGTTCATCCAAACACCTATTCCTACAAAATTCATGTGTTTTTCATTCCCCTGTTTTACATGTGCATTCCTATCCTATTCTTGTGTTTTTTTTCTATTTCTGCAAAAAAATTATAAATCCTGCGTTCCAAATAAGGGCCTAAGTACATTAGTTTTGAGGGTGTTTGCTTATATTATGCTGGGGTTGGTTAAAATTCACAGCACATCTCTGCAAATGAAATCCAACGAATTACCTCATGATTTGGTTATTGGCTTATGAATATGCTTTTTCTTCTGGCATTTCTACACTTATAATTTGCGCTCAATATCTATTTCTGCATGGGCTTCGGGGTAATCCAATACTCAGTTGCTTTGATGCTTGTGTGATTAATTGGTGATATTATGTGTTGCAGGTCAAGTAGCTGGAGCCAAATTTACCAAGCACTGGTGTTGTTGATCTTTTTACAGTTTGAGCTCATAAGGTCAGCCATGACCATATTGTAATTTGTGACCAAGTAGACTTGCCCACTGGTCCAACTATTGTCTTGGAACCTGTTCTAATACTTGGAATCTGGATCTGACAATGCTCATGTATTTCAAGAATCCTGGGAATCTTTTATGTGCTTATTTGGTTTTGAAAGTGCTGCATCCACTTGACCTTAGTCGTTTCCGTTAATGTTAGCTGTTTTGATTGGTGGCCTGGTGGGGGACATGTCCAGCGTTGCAACGAAATAAGCTAGCTATAGTATATCAGTGCATTACTTTAAAACAGAGGTGTAGTTTTACAAAAGTTAGCACAAAAATGTCAGTCTGTATCTGCTACCTACAATCATCCGATTCCGTCTCCGACCAATATCCGCGCAATTCCGACGTTGGCCGTAGCGAGTATTCGTCTCCCCAGAGCCGCCGTCCCTCCATTCCTGCTCGTCTTACGTCCACCGTCCTTTCTGCCATCCTCACCTCGCCTGAATCTCCCACCCATGTCATCATCTCTGCCACCACTGTTGTTCCTAGCTCGATTCGTTCTTCTCGGCTTCCATTTTGGTGCCTCCAAATCCTCCGCAAAGCCACTGCTGCTGTTTGCGTGCGTGTCACCCTTCAAGTACTTCAACAGCTTCTCCCCACCGTTGGCATTAGCACTGTAGTTAGGTTTCGATCTTCCTCTAAGACTATCCCTTCCATTCATCTTATTTCTAGCTCCCCGTCTTGGTTCCATTTCCCTCCCTCTTGCACTGTCTGATTCTGAATCAAAGCCATCACCCATCCAATCCCTTTTAGGAGCATTCCACCTGCCGGCACCATTCCCCGTGTCATCTTTCTTGCCCTTGCTTGCTCTCCATTTCGGCTCGGAGCCGCCGCGGATCACCTCAGATTCAGAGAAAGATCCAGCACCTGTTCTCCCCCTCTGCCTGACATGGCTGCCCGCTGTGGTCTTCAAGCCAGTCCATCTCCCACTGGCCTGCTTCCTTGGACTTGCACCGCTACTTCTCTCCTGCCATCTTTTCTCACGATGACCTTCTCTTGCTCCTTCCGAGTCCGAGAAGAAAGCATTACCACTCCAACCTCTGTCGCTGTTGCTGCCAGCAGCCATTGCACCTGCAGCTTCCCATCTTGCCACACCATTGCTCCTTCCATTTCTCCTAACCACGGTTCCTTGCTCGTGCCAAGAACCGACATCTCCAATGTCCTTTGATTCAGAAATAGCATCGTTGTCATCATCATCATCATCATCATCCGAGGTCCAGTCACCGGCAATGCTGTCATCGGCGTCGCTGAGGGCATTCACCGGCTCCCATGTTCCATCCCTTTCCGTGAGTTCAACCGCAGGCTCGTGATCAGCAATGCCACTGTACGCTTCATCCTCCGCGGCATTCTCACGAACACCTTGCGCACTGCCACGCGGCGCGCTCGCCTCTCCGCCAGCGCTGACGAGCGCGTAGGGCTGTATGCTGTGGAAGGCGTTCCTGGGGAAGAACCTGGCGGAGGCCGCGCCTGTGGCCGGGGACGCGAAGACCCGGGGCCCGTCGCGGTCGTTCCAGAGGTCGACGCCGCCGGGGCGGTGGAAGCGGTCCGCGAGCGCCCTGAGCTGGTCCTCGGCCGCGACGGAGAGCAGGTTGGGAGCCACGGCGGACGCCTGGTCGGCGGAGGAGGAGGAGTCCGGGTCCCAGGGCCGCTCGAGGTGCGCGACGGCGTCGCGGAGCTCGGCGCGCTTGCGCATCTCGTAGAGCTGGCGCTCGCGGGCGAGGCGCGCCTTGAGGAGCTGCCGGGCCTTCTTGGCCTGCATCCGCTTCCACTGCCACTTGGACACGCCGCCGGGGTAGGTGCGCGGCCCGCCGCCCATGCGGATGGCGAGGTCGCCGCGGCGGCGGAGCGGGGGAAGGACGACGCCGCCAGGGGGGAGGAAGTGGGAGGGGAAGAGGATGTAGTGTGACGATAGGGAGCGGAGAGAGGAGAACGGTGGCGGTGCCGACTGGGCGGGGATCAGCATGGCAGCGGACCGGCGGTGGCGCGCGCCTCCGGCCACGAGGTACCCGCCGTGTCTTGTGTGGCTAGCGGGGGGTGTCGATGCTATCGTCTGCAGCGGTGCAGCCTATCCTTGCTGAGCCCATAGCCGCTAGCCCATGGGTCATCGATCATCGTCTACGAATAAAAGACCTCTGTCTTTGGTTTGGGGATAAGTTTTTTTATTAAATATGGTTGGGTGGGTAGACTCATCCCCATCTTTTATTTGATATATAGGGGATTAAAATATGGACGATGGGTGCTTTTAACACCGTCCCTAAAAGTTAGGGCAGAGCAATGGAAGCTAACATTAATGGTGACTGTATTACAAATAAATTAATCCATATATACACAATGCAAACCACTATATTTTTTTTCTAGTGAGGGTCTCCAACTTGCTTTTCTCCTTCATCATGTGTCACTTTTATTCCTCTCTCCCTCTTCTTTTCTTATATGGACCATATTCTCTCTCCTAAATATATATAGATGTTGTAGATAATTATGACAATCGTAGAGCACCTTTTTTTTTTTTTTACAACGTGGCATCTAAATCTAGCTGGATCCTAGGGCTACTACTAAAGCCTGCTGGCATTGGGGAAGCCCTTACCAACGGGTCTGACTTGTCATTAGGTCTATTTTTCCTACCAAGCCTTATGTATTCCTCTTATCTTAGAATATGCTCTAACATTTCTATCCTTGTCCCTTGCCCTAGCCTGGCTACCCCGAGACATAGCTCACCTCCTCCCATGGCCGAGCTTGTCCTCCGTCTCAGTTGGGCTACGCCTGATCTCGCCCTCTACCTAGCCACGCCCTATCTTGCTATATCTCTGCCTAAGCTCATCTCCCCGTTGGCATCCATAGTTGTCCGAGCTCAGTCCGCTCACCACCAGCCATGGCCGCCCCAAGCTCACTCTCCCACTGTCCAACTCGTCCACCTGCCAAGAGCTCGTGGACACCTAAGGTCATTCTTCGCTTGTGGCCATCCGAGCTCGCATTCCACCACACCCGCAATGAAGGAAGGAGACGGAGAAAGATGACGTGGACAAGGGACAAACACATCCTCTTCTCTTCGAGGGACGAGACATCCTCCTTATTCCCCATAGTGGACAACATTATTCTTAGTCGTCCCTGAACCTAACACCTCTAAAACAGGATCGACCGATCCCAATTCGCTTCCATTTCATCCTTCGAAACAAACACACACTTAAGTTTAGCGTCCTATACTTCCTTTTCTCTTCTCTCCTCTTTGACCGCACAAAATCTACCGTTATGATTAGGGTGATGACATCCTCGCTTTTTAGGTCTATTCTCATTTCATCAACGTATGCTAACTACTCGATTTTGCTACTACCTTACAATTAGCGCTACCCACAATCTGCCTGCCATCCAATGGTGGAGCCTACCAGAAATTTTTGGCAATATAGACATCTGTAATCATGGATCGCTACCAAAAAATGAAATATCTTTAGTGTCTAATAATTTTTTTTGAGGGACCAAATTGAACACTCAAAGAATATATATTATTACCTTGGCGGTGGTATAGGAAACCTCCAAGGATATACGTCTTTTGGCTTCTGTCTTCTGGCTGTTGGCTTTTTTGGCTATTGGATTTATGGCTTTTGGCTATTAGATTTTTTGCTATTGACTTTTGTGATAAATTTGTATATTTTCAGGATACCAAAAGTCAGAAAAAACTCCTCTTAACATTTCTTTTTAATTTTCAATTCATTTATTCATAAACCAAATTTTCGAAAACCAGATCAAGGTTATTTGTTTTAGCTTTTGACTTTTGACCAATAGAAGTCAGCACAAAATTGAAACAAACAGGCTGTCAAATTCAGGGGGCCACGGGAACAGAGCAAGCAAAACCCGATAAACGCCCATCTCTCTCTCTCTAAGCACACTTTCCGTTCATCAGCGAATCTTCAAAGAGTACACTACACCATTCTTTTTTTTATCAGGTACAACTTGGACACACACAATACCACACACTCCACGCTCACACCACACGTGCTGACGTGCACATCCGTATACACTAAACGAAGAGATTGAGAGGCTCTATAGCCTCACTTCAAATCTGAAAAGCTGACATCACATTCTTGAAAACTGAGAAATGAAGCCCTCTTTTGAGACTAGCCTTAGCCGCTGGGGTAACAGTCTGGTCAAGGTCAATGTGATTCCTGCACTGTATCAAAAATGTGATTCCTGCATGGTTAACGGAAACATCAGTTTCCGCCTTTCAGGAGACACGTTGCTTATTTTGCAAAGTTCATTGAACCTCTTCAAATAAATCTCTGTGCAGTTCTGACTACTGGGTAACATCACAGGCTCACACTTCACATTAAGACAATTCCAGCAGTGGCAACCAGATCAAACAAGGAAATCTAAAATGCATATCAATGTAATGTACCAAGGGTTACAGTAAAATTGCAGCAACACACATTCTACTTCTACCCATGTTCCATCAAACCATTTACCACTGGACTGCAACAACCAAAACTATCCAACTGGATGATACAACAACAAAACCAGTTACATAGTTGGGAACTAATTCCCCTCGATGCCCACTGCCTCCACTGGTCCTTTGCCCATCCAGTATTTGTAGGCAGCGTAAACAGAGGATACAACCAGGATGCCGAGGATCATGTAGGTACCGATAGTAGCCAAGCTGATTTGGCTAGGAGCCTTCTTCACTTTGCTTTGCGCCAGCAAGGCCTTTGGCTTAATCTTTGCCATGCTACGCTCCTGCTAATCCCAAGAAAAAAAAAGGGCAGAATAGTGTAAGCAAGGTGTGCATAGGATCAAAAGAAAAAAAGGCTAGGAAGAATTTTTGTTGGATTGGACCTTCGTCAATCAAACAAAATACTTCCATCAACAGTAAGTAGGTAATAGCTACAGGCATCACGTTGTCAAAACAAACATGTTATTAAGGTGATTGTTTCTTCAAAGCTAAGAATACCTGATTCATAGTGTATAAAATACATAAGCAGAATATGGTAGTCTGCAAATCTTAAACAAGCATATAACAGAGGCAGCCCCAAGTCAATGCTATACTGGAACACAAAATATTGTTAGACTGGTAAAATAATGGGGATCAGAACTTCAGGATGCAAGCGTGGTATGCGGCATGAAGTGGAAATGCTGGAAAATTAACATCTTGGACCAAATCTCCAAGCATAGGGTGAATGTGATCGTGCAGAAAAGCTTAATATTATTATATTTGTTCATGAACTACAAAGTTCTGCAATTCATGTTCATATGCAAACTATAGGATGTATGATTTACAGTTGAAACTTGAAAGACTTGGTGGACAGGAAAAACAAGATATTCTCATGGAGTTTTTGAATTTCAATTATGAAACCAGAGGCAATGAACCAGTGGTGGACCCACAGCCTGACCCCGAGCGACCACCCGTTCTCGCCGGCAAAGCACAAAGGGAAATTTTATTTGATGCTCTGGAGAACATTGTATTTTTCTTAGTAAATATTTTTTGCATAATGAGAATAGCCTCGGCTTCTAAAAGTTTCTGGATCCATCACTGCAATGAACCTACTTGGAAACTCCAAGGCACAACATAAGTTTCAGGTAAGAATTACTTGTCTTGTACATTGAATAGGGACCAGATTAATAAAGAATGACACAAATAAAAAGGTTCATGAGTCCATTTCTCCAACTCCACACCCTGGCTTGGTTTTGGCACTCCTCTATCAATTTACTGGCTTTATAGGCAGCAGCAGCAGCAGGGTAGTCAAACAAGTCATTACTTTGCTTCCATCTCCCTCCGAGGATCTCTTACTGTTTCTTAAAATATGGGCAAGGTGTGTTCATGTTTTGTTGCATTTATATGATTGTTACTGAAATAGCAATTAACCATATGAATATGGTCTAGGCATGTTCGAAATAGACAGGGGAAAAGAAGATAGTATCAGGGGAAAAGAAGATAGTATCATTGGAGTATATGATTACTAAAACCAAAGCAATGAACCTACTTGGAAAACTCCATGGCAACCAAAGCAATGAACCTACTTGGAAAACTCCATAAAAAAGGGCGTACCCAGTGCAGAGAGCTCCCGCTCTATGCGGGGTCTGGGGAAGGGTGTCAGTGGCAAGCCTTACCCTCGCCTGTGCAATGCGAGGAGACCGCGACTCGAACCCGGGACCTTCCGGTCACAGGCGGTAAGACTCTACCGCTTGCACCAGGCCCGCCCTTCTACTTGGAAAACTCCATGGCATAACAAAAGTTTCAGGTCAATGTTATGTTGTATGACATGGCATAAGGGGACAGACAAAATAGAAAAAGGTTCATGAATCCATTTCTCCAGCTTTGCAGCCTGACTTGACTTCTGCACACCTCTATCAATTTACTGGCTTGATAGGAAAGAGCAACTTGCTTGGGACTGAAAGGCTATGTTGTTGTTGTTGTTGTTGATAGGAAAGAGCAACTGGCTAATCAAACAAATCACTCCTCTCTTTCACCCTCCTCCAAGAATCTCTCTTAGACTCCTACGACTTATAAAAGTTAAAAATATGACCAGTACATGTTCATACTTTGCTTTAGTGTTGGTTGGCAATCTGAATTCTGAATTAGTATTGAAGTAGAGTAGGAAAGATATACAGGAAATCTAAATGATTAAGAAAAGATAATTCAATCAACAAACAGAAAGTTGAATAAATTTGAGCACTAGTATTTACAATAGTATCATATTTTCTTTTTGCTGTCTATATGATGCTAGGTACACCAAGCACAAGAAAAAACTAGTTTTTGTTTACATTATTAATAATGTCCTAAACTAGCATAAATATTCAGTTGCCACCTCAGAGTAGACCTCGCCATCCTTTCTCCTCAATTCATGGAGAACTTTTTTTATGACTGGTGGTGCAGAGCTAGCTCAGCTGTGAGTGGCCCCACCCAACAAGGTTTAAATTCCCTAATCATTTTAGGTGCGTGGACTCTCTGGAAACACAGGAATGACTAGTTTTTAATGG